TGGACTGTTAGTTGATTATTTACCTGCTGCATTAACGGGAGAGGACGTGCAAACGTTACCGCTGCTGCTGGGTTGAGATTCACGAGTCCGGAATTAAAAACACGACATTCATTTAAGGTCATCGTGTGTTTTGTGAGCAAATTCTTTTGCATATTCGTAGTGTTTCCTCCCTTAAATGAAATATTTACTTTGCAAGTATTGCAAGTTGCCCTGTTGTCATCCGTTCTCGTAAAGTATAACCAAACTTTTGAGCTTTTGAGCCGCTTAGGCGCCGTGTTTCCTGCCAGGTAAATGACGCTCCGCAACGTGGTGACGTCATTCGGGGCGACTGGAGTCGATAAGGGAATCGTTTGCAAAAATGGCAAACGATTCCAAGGATTTGAAACAGTGGGAACCAGTTCTCAACAAGAACCGGGTTTCGATACCCATCCCTATAAACACATAATGAAAAAATTGGAAAACAAATGTAATTTCAGGTTTTGTCACTATACCTTGCTGCACTACATTAAACAAATTACAGTTATCATCATTGTCTTAGTGAAATTATCTTTGAGTGAGGTGTAAAAGTCTGCAAATATTTTTCTTTTATTATCTTTGTGAACATGATCGTGAGGATTGTGAGCGTATTAGCATACAGGCCACTGACAGCAAAGCAGTTTCACATCCGTGTAGTTTGATTGAAGTCAGTGGAACCCTTTACATAATGAACTAAGTGCACATATCCAGTGTGAGGCTTCTGAGCAGCATGGACTTTAATAAGGGCTGAACGTCACTGTCAGATGATATCAGCCTTTTGGTAAATAAGATGTAACAACACATCTTTACTCCCGAGCTTTTAATTGTGACCGAGTTTTGTTTTGTTCTTTTTGCGTTTGTTTGTTTTACTTTGCACTTTGGTCAACCTTTGTTGTTGCTTATAAATGAACAGATTGAAGTTTATCACAGCAGTCATGCACTGGTTGAAAAACAGCTAAGTCATTTACAAACATAATATTTTGTCCATTACAAAAGAGGAAATAAATAATGATAAATACTTGTGATGAGTCAGATTTGAAAATAATAATAATGGAGTGGATTTATATAGCGCTTTTCTAGGCACCCAAAGCGCTTTACAATGCCACTATTCATTCACACACTGGTGGAGGCAGCTACAGTTGTAGCCACAGCTGCCCTGGGGCAGACTGACAGAAGCCAGGCTGCCATATCGCGCCATCGGCCCTTCTGGCCAACACCAGTAGGTGGTAGGTGAAGTGTCTTGCCCAAGGACACAACAACCAGGACAGAGAGCCCGGGGATCGAACCGGCGACCTTCCAGTTACAGATACGCTTCCCAACCCCCTGAGCCACGGTCGCCCCGAAAAAAACAAAACAACTGAAGATGATTCATGCTTAAATCATAACATACAGATATTAAAAAAACATGAAACATAAGCAGAGAAAGTTGTGCAAATATATTCATTATGCTGTATTATGGAAGTCAGTTTATAATCCACACAAGCGTTTTCTATTTACCTAAAAACAAATTAACAGCATGTAAGAATAATTTGTACAAGACAAGATTTGTGTGTCGCTTTGTAAAAAAACAGCGATTGTCAGAGATGAAAACAGACGTTTAAAAAAGAGGAAAAGAAACAGCACACACCTCCATAGATGGAGCTCAGTGTTTACACAGGAAATGGATAACGCCAACATCTGTCTGCGACTGCCTTCCACAGCATTTGAACCCAGACCCTGTGGTCTAGTGACAGGACAGTGTGTGTGTGACTGGGTTTAAATGAATATCACATGTGTGTGTGTTGTGATAATGAAGAAACATGTCACCGAGCACACCAGCGTGGCTCACTGATGTGTTTTTAATGATTTCTGGAAAACAATGGAACACTGTACCACGCAGGAGTAAACTATAACGGGCTGCGATGCCCACACAGTGCTTGTTAGTGGAGTATAATCAGTGGTGGTTTGGCACAGCATACGGGATTTGCTGAAAAGAATAAAAATATAGAACCGAGTGTGATTTAAGATTAGAGCAGTTGCTGTATTAAACTAAACATAATGAAAGTGCACAGCTTTCTCTGCTTTTTTAAGGTACAAGCATCAGCTTAGAGGGCGACTGGAAAATACCAAAACATTTTCATCGTTTATTTCGTTGTTTGTTATTTTCAAATTTAATGATTTCATGAAATAGGAGTAACGTGAGGGAATACTGACCTATAACACAACCTCTTTTAAAATTCAAATCCATTTGGCTTTAAACTATTTTGTTTAAATGCACTTGAGCTTACAAAATAAAATGTAGTCTTGTATTCTTTCTATTTGTTTATAATGAGGGTTTTTCCTTTTCACCTACTGCAGTGTGTTCTGCTACATTACACCCAGTTTCGGTCTACAGAGAGCAAAGTAAAGATGATGCATAATTAATTGGTACAAAAGCTGAATATTTCCTGTGGCGGTTCTACCAAATGAGCCTGGGTCCTATCTTTCCCATCATTACTGTCAATTTTCACTAATAGTGTGTTTAATAAGTAATGAGTGGCCTGAAAACATCCCCAACCAATAGCTGTGCAGCTTTCACAGGGCTGTAAACTCCTTCCTAATAATACACTGCAACATACAAAAAGAGCCATGTTTGAACTTCCAGGCCACACTTTTTTTCCAGCACATTGTGAAGACTCGACTGGATTTCTTTTTACCTTTTACACTAAATGTCCTATTTGAAAACGGATTCAATGAAAGGATCGACGCCTGCAGATGTAAAAAGAAAACAGCAGATATTGTTAAATAGATTTTGTCTTTTCGAATCACATCCAATAAAAACAGTGAAATTTTCCTTGGCTACACTGAGTGTTTTTGGTCTAGTGGGGTTATTTCTGTGATTCCAATTACTGTGGTTTTAACAGGATTACAAGAGATAAAAGGCACTAAGATGCTTGGGGTATTTGCAGGCTAAATTAAATAGGATGTAATATGGTAATCTGTTGCTTAGTGATAAGAGGATGCAAATAACCACTGACAGTAGATCAGTAATCTGGTGTGAATAACAATGGCGTCAGGTTCTCTAATTTTTTAGTAGTTGTGGGTTAGAGAGGTCTCACGCTAAAATATGATGTAGTTCTATTATTTGGATGATGAGAGTAATGAGTCACTTTATACTGATTCACCTCAATGGACTTTGTAGGCTCAATATTTTCATTATATTATCTTTTTTTTTCTGCTTATCCAATTCGTTCATGTTCACAGGGGCCTGAAGACGATCGCAGCTGTCACAGGGGGATAGTCTGGCTTCACCAACCATTCGAGCGTGCATTCACACCTACAGCCAATTTATAATCACCAATTAACCCAACATGCAAAAAACCCCAATCATAACCATCAATAACAAATTGTAAAGTGAGTGTGTTGTTATCATGTTATTTGGTGTTTTACCCTAAACAAATAATGTCACCCCGATTCATAATAATTATTAGCAGATTTTATTTATTAGTAGATATGACTTAATTTTATTTATGTCACTATTTTGGTGGTTTAAAAAAAAAGAATAAATGTAATATTTATTATAGTCGATAAGAGACGATTACATTATATTTCTATTTTTATATTCACTATATTTACTTACATTTTTATGTGTGTTTTTCAGTGATGACCAGTTGTTGTTCTGTAACAAAGTTGCATTGCTGAGCGCGTTCCGAATAATTCAAGGTGCGAAGCAAAGGTGAGACTGGTGAAAACGAACCACAGACACGTAGACGCTTGTTAAAGGCGCTCTGAATGCATTACAGCATCATCGTTCAACATGCAGGGTGATCAAAGCCACAGTCCTCCGTTGCGTTTCGGTGGCTCGGCCTATCCAAATAAAAACAATAACCCTCATCATCCCGTCTGCCTCTGCAACAGGTATTAGAAGGATTTGTTTCAGTTTTATAAAAGCACCACATGCATCTGTTCCTCTGCTGTGATCATATTTATTTACCATTCATAAAGTTTTTAAACTTCAGTGGCATCTATTAAAAATATTTCATTGTCTTTTAACAATAAATAACGATTAATTAACTGCAGTTAAATGTTCCCTGAATTTAATCTGTGGGTTTTTTTCTTTGTGAAGCTTATTAAAATGAAAAGTGCTTGAAAGCCCCGTTTTGTCCTGAAGGCTGTCCGAACAGTTTTAATATATCATGAAAAAGAAGATCTTTTTTACTGTTATTTAAAATTTTCAGTCTTTAGTAGAATACCAAAATTATGATGCGTGCTGAACTCGTGGCATTTCTGCAGCACTGAGTAGAGCCTGCAGGTCTTTCCCTCAGATGCACGACTGAAGCAAACCCAGGGCAGCAAATCCTTTGGTGGATCTTGTAAGGTCACAACACATTTTTCAGGAGTGTATTGATATTTCTTTTCTTGCTTTTCTTTGTTTTTTTGAACTGATGAAAATTCTATTAGTTAATGTAAAGAAGTGAAAATAAGAGGGATAAAAATGGCTCTTTTTGAAAAAGAGGAAACAATTTTAAAATCTGCTCGTCAGTCACATTGTTTCAGCCGTTACTGCTTGTGTGTGTGTAGTTTGAACAAACCTGGCAATTTAGTAAAAAATATTTACTATTTACAAATGAAAGTTTCACAGCTCGTCTGCCTTTTTTAAATACACTGGATATTTCCGCCTCTTTGAACTTAACTGCCAAAGAGCAGAACAGAGGAGATCGTTTTGTTTTTACTCTCTGAGGGGGAAAGGCCAACAGAGTGTGGGGACAGAAAGTGTTCAAGTTATTAACCCGAATATTTAACACTAATGCAGTTCTCACCTCGTGTATTTTTTATTTTGTGTTATGATATGAAACAGGCCTCAAGCACACAGTAAAGGCCTCTTTCCACATCAATGTGTGTGTGTGTGTGTGTGTGTGTGTGTGTGTGTGTGTGTGTGTGTGTGTGTGTGTGTGTGTGTGTGTGTGTGTGTGTACACAAGTTGTTAATTAATGCTTCGTTTCACACTTCAATTTGAAGAGAGGGATTTATTTGTATTTACAGCCACAATTTATTGACAGAAATAAGGCACACTTACAGGACAACCTCACATGTGTTGAAAAGAGTGGTTAGCCTAAAGGGATCACCGTAGTCATCAGCAGCTGCAGCAGCATGTCATCAGCACACAACAGCATTAGTGCACGAGCACAGGAGCACACATGCACTTTAGATAGGCGTCACTCTCAGCACACAATGCCTCATTCGTCCACGCCTCAAAGAAATTGAGCGTTGCATTTGACAGGACATGTCAACAGTGGGTTTTACAGCAGAGCAGCTCTTTTGAAACAGTCCAAACACAGGCTGGCACACACAGCGACTAACACAACACTTTATACCACATCACGGTGTGCTCATCACCACCACTGAAGAGCCCAAAATCAGTCAGGAAATGCGACAGTTGACTGCCTGGATGCATGTGTTTGCTTTTTAATGCAAACAAAGGAATCATCGCAGGCTAACGGTGTAGCAGTGGAGCTAGATGTAAGGTGTTTACACAATGCAACATGAGATGACAGCAGCGGTGGCAGCCAGCTGAAGCCCCGCAGCAGCAACAAACACAGTTGCAGGTAGCAAACAGCGAGAGGACCGCGTCCACGCTACGGCACAGTGGACATGCAGAGCAGGGCAGGAGGCTCCTTTTTGGATTCGTCATTACCCCACAAATGCTCCGGTTTACATCCTCCTACACACGTTTAAGCATGTTGCTCTGTTTGTTTCCACGAGCAAAGGAGCAGTAATTATCAGCTAAGCCAAGTGTTAAGCATTAATTGCATTATTGGAATAATCTGCAGTGGTAATGACTGGGATGATTTGTATAATTACAGTCACAAGCATGTCTAAGTGACTCTAACTTTTATATTCGACGTGGCAGCAAAGCCGGCGCAGAAACTGCTTCTTAAAGGCTCGGAAAAGCCCGGCGATACGGAAATCTGCAGCACACAATCACGGGAGGCGATGCATGTGAGGACGTGGCTGTATGACTCGAGCTGATCCTATTAAGTGTTTAAATGGATTTTACACGGCTGTTAAGGTTCAGAATGTGCCATCAGACATGGAGATGGAATCCATATTCATGATGTATTGGCCCGGCTGGCAACGCAGAAAAAGCTGGTTATAGACCATTTGAGCCAGGGGTAATTGTTTATCTAGACGCCGCTTTCCTCAATGCATAAATTGAGCTGTCGACTGCTCGTGGTGGACATTTTGTTTTCTCAGCTATGAGTGTGTGCGTGCATTAGTGTGAGTGTGTGTGAGGCTCAGCGGCAGCAGCAGCGTTACATGTGGCGTAAACCTCACTGCGATAAATGCCATTTGAGCAGCCATTTGCATAAAAAAGGGGGAACACAAGAGGCAGCTCAGCACAGCTCAGTCACAGAATAAATGCACTACATGGAGCTGAAGAAAAGGAGGTTCCACTCTGTAACCGCAGCCGGTGGATGTCCACTGGCCCCTCAGTAAATATTACAGGCCCACGCTGATGTCACACTCTAATGAAGCCAAACTTAATCACACAGCTTTTATGGTAGTTTTTGTTTAGCTGTGCCGAGCACAGAGCGCTGTGCCTGCAGCGTGCGCACACGAGGACTGACGCTCAAACAAGAGAAGCAGTCTGAAGCCATCACCACACACTCTCAGTATGTTCTTGGTGTTGTTGGCATCTTCGGTGTTAGACAGAATTGAGCCTTGGTCTTCATCCTTCTTATCGATGAGTGCATTCACGAGCTGGGCCCACGTCCTTATTTTAGGTTTGACAGCGTTTTTAGTAGATAGAGGATTAAATGTGAACTGAGCTGTGGTTTGGGGAAGGCATGGGAGGGATCCCCGTTTACTAATGAGAAAAGAAGACGTGAAAGAACTGAAAAAGGGGAGGGAGGCTGGGGCAAGAAAACAAGAACGAAAAGCTTGTAGAGCTAGGGGCGTGTTTGGAGGCGTGGTCAGATCATTTATCTCCAATTGTACTAATAATCTTTTTTATTAATTGACTAATTTCCAAACCTTCAAGGACCAAAAAAGCCTTTCTTCTACATACCCAGTGTGAGTGTGCGGGGCTATCCCACCTGTCACACACAGCCCTGGAGTTTAAGGTACAGCCAGTCCAGTGCAGACCAAGGAAATGAAAGATGTAAAGATATTACACCTGATGAGCCGTGCTTTAGTTTCTATGTTAAAATCTAGAGCCTTATCTTTGCTTATTTCATGTTGTCGACACACAGAGTGCCAGGCGGGAGTATTAATGCAGATCCAGTGCTCAGCACAGAAACCTGTTGCTCGCGTGAGAGAATGTGTCCTTCCTGACGGGAAGGCTTCAGACAGGCATCTGTCTGCTGCCACTGCTTGTTCCAGGCTGGCTTTGCAGGAACATGTACACATGCACACGTCTAATAATCCAGCGTTTCCCTCAAAGAACAACACACACACTGAAAGACTACATCCACACACCACGCCTCGCAGACAGAGACACACCGACAGATGTATGGTGGGACAGACACGAGGACACTGTCGACCTCACACCGTGGCTCAGCACACAGGAAGTGGGCGGGAAGGCAAGACAGCGGGATGCAGCGGAAATCAAAGAAGAGATGGGTTTTCTTTATAGGAAGGTGGAGCGTGGAGGTGTGGCTTCACCCAACCTGACAGACCTCCGTGGTTGGGTGGTGTTTTGTCGGGGGGAGGTGAGGTGGGTGAGTGCGGGGGGGCTGAGGGGTATTGGGCGAAGAGAGGACTCTCCTCGACTACGCGTATTCTTAAGCAATAACAACGTGATCTGTATTATCCACCCAAGAATACCCGTCACCGAAGAGAGTCTTTCAGTAAACAGGGGAGCTAAGCCAGAAAGCACGTGAGCAGCGCCACTGCCATCGTATCATCATCACCACCACCATCACCACCATGGCCATCGCTGCTGCCATCAGCAGCCCCCCTTCAGGCTCCGGTGGCAAACAGAAACATACACATACACAGAGAGTGGCCAGTGCATTGATTGAAGACGCCTCGCTGCAGTGTGAGGCTAGGCTCCATCAATGGCTCCTCTGCAAAGGAGAAAATTGACAATGGTGGCATTTTCAATCCAAGCCAGCAAGTGGGTGTCAGAGGGAGACACAGAAAACAGAGAAAAAAAGGCTGTGAAAAAGCTCACGTTACATCGATTCAGTCTCTCACGCCTCTGTGCAACCATCTCTGCAAGCGACAGGGGGAGCGTGAGAAACGGCGACCGTCTCTCACCTGGACTACAGCCCGGCAGCACCGCCCAGATCTCCCGAAAGCTCATCCAGCTCTTCCCCATGAGACCTGGGAAGGAGGGGTTGGAGGGTGACAGGGGGGCTGGGGTGCACACACAGGGGAGACGGAGGGTTAGGCAGGTCAGGCCAGGAGCTGCTGTGGTGTGACAATAGCCCTGTACACTCCATTACCATCCCCTCCCCACCCCCACGGGACAGGCAGAGAAATCAACACATGGATTATACAACGGGAGGGAGGGAGGGGGCAGCGCATGCAGGCAACTCATTTGTTTGATTTTATGAAATACTACTGTGTTTCTGCAGGTGTCTAGCTTACTGGAGCGGGCTATTTACTGGAAGAGCAAGCATTTTGTCACGTTTACAGAGTTTACTTGTTGCAACTTGTTAACTTTAAAATTGACTTTAAATCGGTTCCTAAGTATTAGTTTGGCAGATTTATTTCTTTATTTTGAAATTAAAGCAATGTATTTAAATGTCGGTGGGTGATGCATGAATAATGGATGAAAAGTTCAAGCAAATTTATTCCGTTCTATTCTAATTAAACTAGCCAGCTGAATACAAAGAGCACGCTCCAGCTAAGCTGATCCAAAATCATTCCATTGATTTTTTACCCACAATCAGGCTGCTTTGGTAAAAGGTTGTCAGTCTGTGTCTCTGTCACGCTGGCACTAAATGAACTGTTTCATTGTTCCTGAGAACTGAAAAATCATATTTAACAGGAGGAACAGATGGTGTGACTGGACTTGCAATCAGAAAACACAGTGACGAGGATGAAAAATCCCAACGTGCAGATGAGCTGAAGCAGAACGAAGAAACAAACTGATGATCAGAGTCAGCAGCCCCAAGCTGGCAGGAGGAAGACTGAGGAGCAACAAGACAAAGAAGGAAGAAAGCAGAGGCTAACCTAGCATCCCCTCCTCTATTCTTCACTTAAGCTCGACTCAGCCAGGCCAGCCTGCACACACACACACACTCAGAGAGGTCGGCCGGCCCAAGTATCATTGATTGTAGAGTGGAAGCTCCCTGGAGTCTCATCAGATTACTATGAGCATGATTGTGTCAGTCTTTGTTTGTGAGCGTCAGGAAGAGCAGCCGCACACATCAGGAGGATGCTGCCTCACACAGTTGCTTTCTTTCTCTTTGCTCAGGAACTGCAGGTTCTCCCTCCTGTCTCCACTCAACTTTCAGGACCTTGCTTACACACACACACATTCACACATCTTGTGGTTCTTGTAAAGTGCCCACAGTCTGGTGAAGATGATGAGTGCAGACAGGAGAGCAGGCTGATGGAGGTGATGTAGAAGCCAGGTTTTTTTTCTGCGCTTCACAGGATGTGCAAATAGAGACAGCAAAGTATGGAAGTGCGAGCTCTGTGTGTGCCACTCTGGCCTCTTACCCTGCTTCCTCCTGTCACTCAGGGTGGTGCCTCTCCTCAGCTCTCCTACAATTCTCCTTGCCTCGCTGAGGGTCCGTGGCAAACTGGGAGGTGGTGATCTCCCTCCCCCTCCCAGTTCCAGGAAGAGCTCCCTGAGGAGAAGGTGGAGGCAGATCCCGGCAGGAGACGGAGCATCCAGCAGCGAGAGCGGCGGCCGCTACGCCGCTGCTGATGGAGGCAGTGGTACGGATGCTGCGGCTGCTGCTGCCAGAGAGGGATGAGCGAAGGACGCTTCACAAAAGAGCTCCTCTTCTTCTCCTTTCCCTCCTCTACTTCTTCTTCTCCTTCCACTTTTCCTGCTGCTCTCCAGCACTGAAAGAAGCCAGTTGTTGCTCTGCCGTGGCAAATGAACAGGCAGCCGGCGACAAGCTGGTGGAGCGAGTGAGAAAGCAGGCAGATGGGAGAGAGAGAGAGAGAGGGAAAGTGCAAGTGTGTGGTGTGATGTGGCATCTGTGAGAGAGTGATAGAGGAGAGAGGGAAAGATAAAACAGGGGGCAGGAGGATAGATGAACCAGGAAGAAGGTGGGGTAAGGTAGGATGCAGGGAGAGAGTGAGAGAGAGAGAGAGGTATTGCAGCAATGAAAACCTTGAGCCAGCAGCAGTCTGTCTAAGCCACATCCCTGCTACGAGGAGAGGTAGAGAATAATTAGATTTGAGCATTTCACACACACACACACACGCACACGCACACGCACACGCACACACACGCACACACACACACGCACGCACACACACACGTCCTGGAACCTAGTACTGCTGGATTAATTGATGTACTGTGTGCTTCACGGCCCTCAGCCAACACTTCCACCAGCAGCCACTAAACTGTGGGAGAAAAAAATGAGAAATGAAGTGAGGGGTGACTGTGATGATGCTGGAGAAGAAGAGGAGGAAGAGAGGAAATGAATGGGCCCCTGGGACTGATGAAAGCATACCACGAGGATGTGAGGAATCACTGATACGCGCACACACAGAGGACGACGAGGCTGCTGTGTGGACTGAAGTCTGCCAACGTTTCCTATTAGCCGTCTTTGTTAAACATGTTAAGGGGACGCTTCAGGCGGTGTGAGCCAAATGCCCGTGTTCCTACGGCGATGTATGATGTCACACAGCTAATATTTCACACACTTCTCATTCATGCTGACTGAATGTGAGCGGTGTGAAACAGCAGTGAGCACACACGGTGTGTGTTTTTCTTTATGAAAATAATAATAATCATATCCTTTTTTCACACGCTGTACAGTAGAATAGCAAATGACAAAGTTCACAGGTTAGAGTCAAATGTCCACCTCTGGAATATTCTTGATATTTATAATTGAGCGATTTTTATATTGTTTGTTTATATTGTTTTAATCAATTTTAAATCATGTTTTTTATTTGTTTTTGTTTCTAATGTCTCTGTAAAGCACTTTGAATCACCTTGTTGTTGAATTGCTGTACAAATAAACTTGCCTTGCCTATATCGGTGCTATTTGTTAAGTTTGTAACATATTAGTTTGGTCTGTTATTGTTACTGTCTTGGAGCATCTGTACCCCACAGGGATCAATAAAGTATTCTTATTCATGAACATTCAGAAACTGATCAGTGACCAAAGTGTGACTCGAACCCTCACATCAGCCCTGCAGAGTAGCAGGGACAGTATGAACAAACAGAAGCATGAAAGCGAGGAGAAATGAAACCGAGTTCCTCGGGGCCCATTTAAGATGCTCTTAATTCCACACTGCTCTCTTAACACGCTGCAACAGGCGCTGACATTTTCAATTAGGAAGACTTAAAATCATTTGTGGGGGAGAAAACGAGGCCGTGTTTTGAAGCAGAGATGGTGGTCAGATCATATAAGGTTCCCTGTAGGTGTCCAGCTCTCTTTCACAAACACACAGGCAGGAACACAGCAGTAATGTTGTGCCATTCTTTTTCAAAGCCGTGCCAGAAATGAAATGCGGACAAACATCCAAGAAGCTTTCATGTTCTTCTTCTATTTCTGTGTTTACTGTAGCTGCACTGAAGGGCACAAGCTGCACACCAAATCTCTCAGTGACTATTGAGAAATTAGGCGGTGCGATCCTTGCAACGTGCCTGTGTGTGATGATTCTGTTTGTTCTCTTTTGTTCTTGTTTGAGTCCTCTTTCCACATTTGAACAAAGTCGACTGTGAGTAGATTAAAAAAAAGAAGCAGCCACACAAATGCTTAATTTCAGCAGTGTCTTCATTTCAATGGAGCAACAGAGCAATTACATTTACATCTCTGCTACTTCCTCTGACACTGGCGAATCTCCAGAGTCAATGGAAATTAAAATCTCTCAAGGATTCCACAGTGATCAGCGGCGCCTTTGAGGGTGAATGGGGGGGGGGGGTAAAATAATCATACACGGCTTTATCTGCGAAAGAGATGGTTCGTTAATGTATAGCAGACAAAAGAGCCTGAGGAGCTGTGGCTGGGGGGGCACTGGTTCTGTTTCGTAGTGGTGTAGTGCCCCCTAGTGGCAATGAGCCCACTTGCTGTGGCATTGTTCAGCCACAGATGGTCCTTTTACCGGGATAAGCCGAGAGACACTGAATATCAGAGATCAGGGTTATCAGTGTGTGTGGGAATAAGACCCACAATACACACCCAGGACTGTGCAGAGTAATCTAAGCAATCCAGTCTCAGATACACACCCAGCACCAGCACAGCAACACCATTCAGCTTATTAATATTTGACCACCTGACATGGAGAATGTCATTCCTCCTGCATTTCTACTGGAAAGTGCATTTAAATAATCACAACACTGCTGCTCTGTGTTTGAGGCTTCAACCTAACAGCACATGTCTTTCTGTCATACATGCAGACTTTGTGGTGAACTTAATGACTCTTTACACACACACACACACACACACACACACACACACACACACACACACACACACACACACACACAGTGTAGAGATCTCTGCCAATAGCTGCAAAGCTTCTTCATTAACGCCGAGTGCTCACAGGCAGGCTGGCAGGGTTTAGAGGTCCACATGTTTTTGTTTGTTTGTTTCTATCAAAGGTTTTTAGACGGTCCGTCATAGCTGAGGTGGACATTACTGTGGACATGGGCAGAAATGTTTTATTATTAAATTCTTATATTAAGAGCACTCTGGGACTAGACATGAGCTGTAACTGTGCTGCTCATTCCTCTTTGTTAACATAGTGCTGAGAGATTATGCATTTTTATGAACAAATGTATTTTGGCATGAACATGGTGCCACATGTGTTCTGAATAAGAATGTCCCACTATGTGTTGCTCATGTTTGTGTTTTCCTTTACATAAAAAACACACTTCTTCCATAAATTAACATTTGGAAAAGTAAAAAAAAGGTGTTTATATTCACCTTCACTGAAGTGAATTTCCTCGAGTTCCTCACTAAACACATTGACATGTTTTGTCCGCAGCATTCATCCCAAAGAATCAGGCTGGACTGAAAATCCTTTTGCTCTGATACAGAGCGAGAGGAGAGAGAGAGAGGAAGGTCTCCGCTTTTCAAAGCAGCCAGCCATACAAAAGACACTGAATTGAGCTTGAAGCACCACAAGGCCAAATATCAGAACAGCAACATGTACAGCACAACTGTAACACAAAGACAGAAAGAGGAAAAAGGAAAAATCCATAAGCCATCAGCAGCCAATTAATCCCATAAAGCGGTTTTCAATGACAAGCTGGAGCCTCGCCTTTCTTGCCGTGCTCAACAAATCACAGGTCTGCACATGCACGTCTACTTCATTAGACAGGTGACTCGCACTACAGCAAAGTCACGCGGTGTGTTTTTGAAATCAAGGTCTTTGTGTCTGAGTTTTAGCTCAAATAGCTAGAGATTTGTATCTTGGAGCCATACATTTAAATAATGCCAGAGTGCAGATGAATTATGTCAGCCAGGTTTGGCACACTTTATTATTTATTCCCTTTTTATTATATGCTTCCATTGTCTACAGAGGTAAGGATGGCGGTTCTCTTTCTACTGCCTTTCTGTTTCATGTCAGTGTGGAAGTATGCAATGTGCAGTTTATGTAGTTAAAAAACAAACAGCGAGCACATCGACGGGTCATGCCCAGCAGTTTTTGTGTTGTTGCGATGTACTGAGGATTGTTCTCCTGAGGGGCCACAGGGCAAACACTTCTTTTTGGCTCTCTACAGACTCCTACTATATGTGTTAGTTACATTGTTTCCCCTGATACCCAGAAACCAAGCACAGATTCAGAGCTGAAATGACTTCACTCTAAGAACATAAAGTGCTCCATTGTACCTTTAGCAGTGCAGCTCGTCAGTGAGGACATTATTAAGATAATGCTGCTGTACCTTTGACAGGGGGTACTCTTGTGGTTGGTACCTTACAGAGACCAGTTCTGAATATCTGGTAATATTTTTTACATCTTTTTGTAATATTACTAAAATGGATCTTTAAAAAAACAAAAGGTGCAAAGGCGCTGTAGCCACCCCTTAAAGTCTCTGGGTATTTGAAGTTCCAGTTGCCAAGGTAACCTCCAATGGATTTACTGGCATGTCATATGTTAATCGTAGGACCTGCCCACTTTGCGTCACCAGCATTTATTTGTCCAGTAGTTATTTAAAGCCACAGAATGTCACTGACTTTCTCTGGTCTTTGATTGCTGTGAACTGCTTCCTGTGTGGACACAGCTTTGGTGCTTCATTTCTTTGGTGACACTTTGTTATAAAGTACAAAGTTATTGCTTCATTAATCTTTAGTAACAGTTAACTTGCTGCACAAAATAACAAAAATGTTTTAATTACATTTATAAATAATTAGTCGTTGTGATTTATGAATATTATTGTCATTAGTTTCTATAACAGAAAATATCAAATTACAGTTTTGCATATTCTGTGAAGCATCACAGCTGATCATGTTTTGCAATGAAGGTTTCTTTACTAATCAGTTATCCCATTTAATTCCAAGGATATAAAATGCTTCTGTTGAGTCAAAGCTGCCAGCGTCGTAGAGGCACGAGGTTTCCCACAGGAGGCAGCATCCAGCAGAAGGTCTTAACTACAACTGAAAATTGCAGTTTATGAAATCAACAGGAATTTTAAAAGTGCTTGACTCGGGAGATGCAGTGTAGGTGACTGTTTCACATTCAGGCTCCAGCGTGGCCAACAGAACTGCTCGCTGTGCCACAGTTTTCTATCAAGCTGAGTTTCTTAGCTGAGAAAATCCTGCCAATTTTCAAAGTAAAAGAACCTTTGCAGATTAAGTGCTCTGTGTGAGGACATGTTATTTGAATCCTTGCAAAGGATGAAACACATTTGAACCAAACTATTCATAATCTTAACGAGCAGTTTTGGCATCTAAACCTAACCGAAAGCAAATTTATCTAGTCACTGATGACTTTAACTCTTTTTATTGTCTGATGTAAGACTGAGATCCTTAACTTCATAATTATGATTATGAAGTTACACTTTATAATATGGCTGCATTTGCACTGTAGTTAACTGGAACTGAAATGGATTTTATTAAAAATTACAATGTAATCATATTTATCATAACTACAAATACTTAATGATAAGTACAGTAGAATAAGGGAGCAGCAAGTCAGTGTTTTA